AGGCTAATTAGATTTTTAATAGAATTCGATACTATACCCACATAGCATTAAAATATTTTCAAAATATAAAAAAAATATTTTCAAAATATAAAAAAAAATATTTTCAGGAAAATGATTTAGTTGGCAAAATATTTTTTAGATCATCGTTAAAAATTTGCATAAATAATTAGAAAATAGTTAAGCAATATATTTGTTTTGATCAGGAATTTCACATTTTTTAAAATAATTTTAAACAAGATTTATAAAACATTTTAACTAGTCAAATTAAAACAAACCCCGTACTGAACTCGCCAAACACCGTTGAGGTAAACTTAAACATATTATATACAATAATTTTGAACAAATATTGTTTTATTAACTTTTGAAAAATATTTGAAGGATATTATAATTTTCCAAATGCTGTGTGGGTATTTTATTTTCATTAGATATTAATTAGGTTTTTTTTTTTTTTTTGTTTAAAATATATTTATACCACATCAGTTAACGGGAAACACGTTTCCACCACGAATACCACGTCGGTTGCTAGATCAAAAAAAGTGAGGATAGATATGGTGAAGACCCCTGGGTTAGTGGAAATTTCGTCGTCAGCCGCTCGAAAAGTCACTTGGTACTTCGCTAAAAATTTGAATAATGTTCAAAATTACATCGACTTTCTCCGCCCACTCAAACCGGCTCTGTCAGTAATACTAAAAACTCGTGTTCAGGAACATCCAATAAAATTTAACTTGAAACTCGAGGGCATCTATAACCGACCTAACATCGCAAACTCGTCCGTAAATAGAGCGTTTAAAACATCGGCGGTTGAAGTTTTTTCGGAAAGCAATATTGATGAGATTATTGAAAAGGCTTATATTAAGTTGCTTTCCGAGGAAGAAACTTATACCGATAGAGGAAGCGGGTATACCATAGAGTCTATAGACGGGTTATTGCTAGGTATCTATAAATATATACCGATGACTACATCATCATATATAGAGTTACCGGTATATATAGATAGGAAACGAGCTACAATAAATCCTCAAAACGATGACCAGAAATGCTTCAAATGGGCGATTTTGGCGAAGCACGTGACTGAGTCAAATAAACATCGTGTCGAGGAAAATTATAGACAACAAGAGGGTAAATATAATTTTGAAGGTGTATCGTTCCCGACTCCAATATGTGACCTGAAGAAATTTGAAAATAATAATCCGTACGTCACTGTGAATGTTTATGGACTCGAAAAAAAGTTTTAGCCGCCTAGAAAATATCCGACATATGAGGTGTACCCTCTACGCGTAGTAGACGAGGAGAAAATCAACCATTTTGACCTGTTGCACAGTGGAGTATTCGTACAAAAAAGCTGGCCAAAAATATTTTTAAGGATTTATTAAGTTGAAATGAGCTTAAAAACAATACTAGATTATAGTTTTATAATTTTGAACAAATTTTTACAAATAACAATGTTTATTTTTATAATAAAACACACGTTAGTAACAATTCTCATCATCCATTTCGTCGTCTTTTTGATTATATTCTTCGCTTATATTTTCCGTTGGTGATCCATCATCTAATGGCTCCGGGAGAAAAAGTTTCAATGTTTCACTTGAAA